AGTAGCGTGCTCCCATTCGGTGGCAGCAATATATTTGAAATATTGCCAACAATTACGAACACCGATAAAAATCCATCATTTCGTATGCAGCCACTCTGCATTCAGATCCCCTGAACGCATGCAATGCTTCCACTTGATCTGCCACACGAACTAAAGACTCATTCAACGACCATTCATCAACAGGTAACAATGCAACGAACCTAACATACCCGACACACCGCAATTTTTCTCACTTTTTTACAAGGAACACGATGGATTAAATTGCAAAGGCATTACCGCCATTTCCAGCATGGAACGTGCTTTTTCCAGAATCACCAGGGGCGAGCTTAATGCTTTCCTCGGCGAACCACTCCGTCTTCCGTCGGTAAAACAATCGGAATTATTCCAGAGCAACAAGCGGTCCGTTTGACCGAGGGACTTTTCAACGTTGGCCTCGTTCCGGCCATTTACGGAGAGTTTCGCGAGACTTCTTCGTGGAAATGGTGCTCGTGTAAGAAAATAGGAAAAACAAAGGACATTTACTCGAAGCGTAACTCGAAGTCGCCGGTACGAAATTCTTTCCCGGTTGGTACGGCAATTATTATTCTCGTTTAATAATCCCTTTTTCTCGCGCGAGTTAAACGCGACGGACGTTAGCATTTCATCCGAGATTTCTTTTGTAGCTACGGTGCGCCAGCGTCTCCCCCCGCCATTTTACAGCCAACTAAGCGGCTTAAGATGGCGGCGGACGAAGAAAGCGGCGTTGCGCGTAATTATATGTCCCTAAAACTGAATTGAAATCTTCAGCTTCGTTGACGCTCTAAATGGAGCCCGAAAACACCGGCCTTCTAGCTTCTATTTGCATGTAAATTATCACCGGGCGAAACACAAAGCGATAGAGAAGTGACCCCCCGGAGGTGAAAAGGAAACGCGAACGAATCGAGTGCCGGAGTCACTTCGTTCCACGAGAAAACGACTTCATCCCGCGAATTATGTTCCTCGTTATACGCTAATTCGCCTCGTGCTGGCCATTGTTTTCGTGTAACACGGTTTATGGAGTCTCTAAGGGCGAATCGTTTAGACCGGCAAACGCCGGGAATCTCGGGCGAGATGAACGGTTCTCTTGTATTGTACGGAACATCCTTTTTAACCCATTGTTTTTGAGATAATGGCTGATAATTATTAATTGAATTTTAACGGGGATTTCTCCCTTATACTGTCATTCTCACGTTTCAGCGGAAATTCTCAGACTTCCAAATTTTCTCAAAGGATGAGTAATACCTCGTCAAGAAAGCTCATCGGTATTTAGAATATTTAGCGCGTAATTTAAAGGCGCGTTTCCAATTTAAAGGCGTCCCGTCTAACAAGTTAACAAACCCGTCCAACACCTTCGACGGCTTAATAAACTTGGCAACGAGCACGCAACTTTCGAACTCTCCGTCGAACCCTGGAAACTCTGGAAACGAAATTTATTATTTAGTCGCGAACTAGCCGATCGTTCGTCTTCTCGGAACAATTACCCGGCTAACTCTCTGTGTCCTAGTCTTCGACCGCTCCGCTTCGTTAGACCCTCGCGTAATTCAATGTAACAATTAGCCAACAAAATTGATAGTGTTCGCCGTGTGCCTCGAGCCGTCGCGAGTCTGTCGTTTCGTTGAAAAACAAATAATTCGCTGGAGATTCCGAGCGTATAGTTAAATTAAACCGTATCGCTGCGGCTGAAAGTTTAGACGTTGATATACATGACGAGTCGAGGGAAATGGATGAATGCGAATACTGTTTTTGTATCGACACTGTATGGACGTTTCGGACAGAATTGCATATGATCCATACGGTGCGTCATTAGTTGTATTAATAAAGTAAAACTACACGGGACGCACGGGGTGCGTCATGGCTCGTATCATATAGAAAGACGTAGGACGCACATGGTACGTCAGCAGCCATGTCATATAGAACAGTACAGGACACACAAGGTGCGTCATCAGTCATATCATATAAAGCAGTGTAGGACGCACAAGGTGCGTCATGGTTCGTATCATATAAACACAAGATGTATCATGGTTTGAATCATATGGAACGACACATGACACACAAGGTGCGTCAACAGTTATATGATATAGAACAGAATAGGACGCACAAGGTGAGTCACCAGCCATGTCACATAGAATAACATAGGACGCACATGGTACGTCAGCAGCCATGTCATATAGAACAGTACAGGACACACAAGGTGCGTCACCAGTTTATCATATACAACAACACAGGACGCACAAGCTGCGTCACCAGTCATGTCATATAAAGCAGTGTAGAACGCAAAAGGTGCGTCATGGTTCGTATCATATAAACACAAGATGTATCATGGTTTGAATCATATGGAACGACACATGACACACAAGGTGCGTCAACAGTTATATGATATAGAACAGAATAGGACGCACAAGGTGAGTCACCAGCCATGTCACATAGAATAACATAGGACGCACATGGTACGTCAGCAGCCATGTCATATAGAACAGTACAGGACACACATGGTGCGTCATCAGTCATATGATATAGGATAACACGGGACGCATAAGGTGCGTCATCGGTCATATGATATAGGATAACACAGGACGCATAAGGTGCGTCATGGTTTGTAGCATATGGAAAGACACAAGACGCACAAGGTGCGTCATGGCTCGTATCATGTAAAAAGACATCGGACGCAATAGATGTGTCATCAATAGTATCATATGGAACTGCTTAGGACGCACAAGGTGCGTCGCCGGTTATATCATATAGAACAGTACAGGACACACATGGTGCGTCATCAGTTATATGATGTAGGATAACACAGGACGCATAAGGTGCGTCATGGTTTGTAGCATATAGAAAGACACAAGACGCACAAGGTGCGTCAGCATTTATATCATATAGAATGGCACAGGACGCACAAAGTCAGCAGTCAACCAGTCAACCTAGAACCCCATAAATCTATAAATCTATAAATTCCTCGAATTCTAAATTCAGAAACTATTTACTCATCAGTGTCCCCTTCGCGTTCCAAGCCCCCAGAGCGCAGTTGGCCACCAGCGTTCCATCCTATCGTATTACACGATTCCATTATGTTCATCCGTTCGGAACGAACAAAATGACAGCGAGAAACAAAAGCGAGGCTTCGTTAAACAGAGAAACGTTACATCGCTCGCGATATCGTATATCGCATTATTTCACGATAGTCGGATTTTCGCTGTTACGTTCATCCCTCCCTCCCTTTTTCCACCCTTTACGTTAAACGTTTCATTACACGGGTAAAAGCGTGTTATTACGAGTCGGTTTTCTTGAAACGTGTTTTAGTGGCCACGACACACAGCTTTTTGCTTTCTCCTTTCGTCCGCGTAGCAATCCGTTTCAAGCGTCTGTTTGAACAGGTAGAGGTACGTAACGATGTCTGGCTCTCGCTGTATAATGTCGCTTACAGGAAACGAAACGTACTTTCTAAATATTTCCGCAGCGAAGCGGAAACACCAGAGATCTCTGGTTCGTTGCACGCGAATTGCACGGCTGAAAGGGTTTTCCCCGAGCGCGATTTCATTTTCAGTTGTCCTGGCAAATGATCTGTTTCGCGATATTGCAGCGAAGGATGTTTGAGCGAGGGGCTCGCGGGGCCAGGCCCGGTTTAATGAACGCGGCTTTAAACGTTGTCGATTGTTGTTCAAGGGTTGACATAAAAATATTTACTGTTCCGCCTCGTAATATCGAACTTTTCTGTTGTTTCCCCTTTGTTCGCTGCCTCCTTTGAACAATTTTCTCCACGGTTTAATTAAATCTCTCGTCTTTTTTACGAAGACCGGGTCAACTACGCGTCCAAACTCTTAATGAAAAAAATTTATAATTAATTCCCTCCGCCTAACATTTCGATTCCTCTATTTTTTTACTCCTCTATTCCTTTATTAGTCTCCACTATCGATACTCGATACATCTTGTTATTTAATCATGCAGTTTTCCGCACCGGTGAAATGTGATAAGCAGCTCGATATTAACTCTATAACCTAATTTCATAATTCCAATAAACTATCCTTATTTAAACTAAATCTTATTTAATAAATTTTAACAAATTTTGAATACAGTCAGACTTAAATATCGGTTTTCCAGACAGGTAAAATGTAATAAGCAGCTCGATATTAACTCTCAAACCTAATTTTATAATTCCAACAAACTATCCTTATTTAAACTAAATCTTATTTAACAAATTTTAAATAAATTTTAATATATTTTGAATACAGTCAGACTTAAATACCGGTTTTCCAGACAGGCAAAATGTAATAAGCAGCTCGATATTAACTCTCAAACCTAATTTTATAATTCCAACAAACTATCCTTATTTAAACTAAATCTTATTTAATAAATTTTAATAAATTTTGAATACAGTCAGACTTAAATACCGGTTTTCCACACCGGTAAAATGTGATAAGCAGCTCGATATTAACTCTCAAATCTAATTTTATAATTCCAACAAACTATCCTTATTTAAATCTCATTTAACAAATTTTAAATAATAACTAACATTTTATAGAAAAAAAAAATTGTGTAATTTTTTAAGATTCCAAAGGTATTGCCCCCCCTCAAATAAGTCTTCAAACGAATCCCGGAATAGTCTAATTGTAACAACCCTTCCGAAACGACAATTTCGTCGAACAAAAGCGAAAATTCAAAATGTCAGATAATTACCGATAATTAAACGATACATCAATTAAAACCGTTCAAAACTGGAAATGATACGTCAATTAAATGGAGGCCGTTAATGAGATATGGATACAGAGCAATTATTTATGAACCGCGTACTATAACGTTTAGTTACGATCACTCTTCGTGATTTAATGATTTTAAGCTCCATATTGTCGATAATAGGAGGAAACATTTTCATAATATTATTCGAATTTTCCCGTCGGTTAGACAGATAACGCGCGATAAAATCCCTGCAATCAATGTTATCTCGCTACGACTACGATCGAAAATGAACAGCCGACCAATATACTCACATTTGATGTCCAGATTCAGGGGGTTGCTCTCACCGTCGCCTTCCTGATTGCTACCGATGCAAGTATACATCCCGGCTCTGCTGCGAGTCACGCTTTGCAATACCAGGCTTTGATTGCTGATTATTGTTCCCGTAGCCGGATTATGGAACAACGTATTGCCCTGCGGAGTGCAAAATCGAAGATACAGAGTCATCGATCGGAAACATCATCACTCGATCAATATGATATTACTCATCAAATAAATATTCACTCTAGGTTCATACTCGTCGATTCAATTATTTATTATCAATTTATGCGATGATGAATTTAGGTTATTGTCGGCACTCTCGTTATATCGCCATTGAGGGGAAGAGCACTTCGGATTTGGGGATTAGGTTTTTGAAAATTTGGTGGATTTGCTGGCTTGCAAATTAATCGGGGCTATATTTATTGGTCTCTAAAATTATTTTAAATTAGTTTGAAATTAATAGAAAATATATTCACTGTTCAATAAAATTATTTTAAATTAGTTTGAAATTAATCGAAGCTACATTTACTGCTCTCTAAAATTATTTTAAATTAGTTTGAAATTAATAGAAATTATATTCACTGTTCAATAAAATTATTGTAAATTATTTTGAAATTTTATTTTGAAATTAATCGAAGCTACATTTACTGTTCACTAAAATTATTTTAAATTATTTTGGAATTAATAGAAACTACATTCATTGTTCAATAAAATTATTTTAAATTATTTTGAAATTAATAGAAATTATATTCACTGTTTTCTAAAATTATTATAATTATTTTGAAATTAATAGAAATTATATTCACTGTTCTCTAAAATTATTATAATTATTTTGAAATTGATAGAAACTACATTCACTGTTTAATAAAATTATTGCAAATTATTTTGAAATTTTATTTTGAAATTAATCGAAGCTACATTTATTGTTCTCTAAAATTATTTTAAATTAGTTTGAAATTAATAAAAATTATATTCACTGTTCTCTAAAATTATTTAAAATTATTTTGAAATTAATAGAAACTACATTCACTGTTCAATAAAATTATTGTAAATTATTTTGAAATTTTATTTTGAAATTAATCGAAGCTACATTTACTGTTCTCTAAAATTATATTAAATTAGTTTGAACTTAATAGAAATTATATTCACTGTTCTCTAAAATTATTTAAAATTAGTTTGAAATTCATAGAAATTATATTCACTGTTCAATAAAATTATTGTAAATCATTTTGCAATTAATAGAAACTACATTCACTGTTCAATAAAATTATTATAAATTATTTTGAAATTAATAGAAACTACATTTACTGTTCACTAAAATTATTTAAAATTATTTTGCAATTAATAGAAACTACATTCACTGTTCTCTAAAATTATTCAAAATTATTTTGCAATTAATAGAAACTACATTCACTGTTCAATAAAATTATTGTAAATTATTTTGAAATCAATAGAAACTACATTCAATATTCACTAAAATTATTCAAAATTATTTTGAAAATTGTAAATACAAAAACTTCTCACAATTCAAGAAACATGAAATTTGAAAAACATTGAAGCCGAGTTAGAAAATAAATGTGAAATTAGGGTGACACAGAGTATCTCCGGTAGCTCGTGGAGTGCTATCACTTAACGTATAGCGTGTCGTTCAGTATCAATTCCATCACGTAACAACGTTCTCTATTTCTTCGCGCGGGATATCGGCAGGTAATTTTGAAGTGTATACCCATTTCCCGATGATTAATGTTCCCGTGGATTCGACGGGAAGCGTCGATCGATCGGCGGCTCGCGTGTAAATTCCGCGAAAAAACCGGGAAACGAAGGTCGAAGGCCGTTGACAGTTTTTCAATTTCTCAACGCCTTCGACAATGTCTTCCGTTCTCTTGCCGCTTCTTTTTCACGGCCTCGTAAAGCTCTTTTGAATTTTCCTCGAAATACACTTGGCGGCAACGGAAATCTTCCCGTCCCGTCTCGAATCAAACGAAGAATCGACAAAGAGCCGCGACTACAACGACATTATGATCCGGAGACGCGAGAAGAAATATTTATGGAACTCGGGGCAATATACCGACACAAAAGGGACCGGCGTCGTCTGCGTTTCTTTTAAAATAAATCTGCCCTTTCCCTTCGCGAGATCGTAATCGTCCCACGCGAAATTATATTCCTTTGAGACGCTCGTCTACAGACACGGCACGAAAACGCTTATAAAACGAGCGATAAACGTGTCCGGATCACCGGTTCGAGGATCCACCGTCACTTTTACGGGCATTTCACAATTTTCGGATGTATAGCCTTTAACGTCCGATCACCTAAATCTTCTATGTCAACGTGCTTCAATTTCTCACTCAAAATTATATTTTCATACAAATATCGCGGATCTCTTTTATTATTTTCAAGCTTTAAAATTGATGAGAAGTTTCTACGGTTATTTAATGTGCTGCATTAAAGTATTTCAAAAAGTGGATACATTTAAGTATTTATAAATACATCAAAATGTTAAGACGTTTAAATAGAGGTACAAATATATTAATGTTAATTAGCAAGTATTTTAATCGGAATATATTATATAGATGCAAATGTACCGCCATTTTCGTGCAGAGTCGCGCTGCCATTTTGTTGTCGCAGCATACAGTGACGCACATCACATTTCGAATTTAATAGCAACAAAGAAAACAGCAATAGTAATGAATTTAATAAATCTGCTATTAAATAGTTAAAGTATTTTTATCAAGTATTTTAATTGCATTACTTTATTGGTTTCAAGTGTACCGCCATTTTTGTGAGGACACGAGCCGCCATTTTGTTATCGCAGAGCACAGTGACGCACATCACATTTCGAATTTAATAGCAACAAAGAAAACAGCAATAGTAATGAATTTAATAAATCTGCTATTAAATAGTTAAAGTATTTTATCAAGTATTTTAATTGCATTACTTTATTGGTTTCAAATATACCGCCATTTTCGTGCAGAGTCGCGCTGCCATTTTGTCGTCGCAGCATACAGTGACGCACATCACATTTCGAATTTAATAGCAACAAAGAAAACAGCATTAGTAATGAATTTAATAACTTTCCTATTAAATAGTTAAAGTATTTTAATTGCATCATTTTATTGGTTTCAAATGTACCGCCATTTTCTTGCAGACACGAGCCGCCATTTTGTTATCGCAGCATACGTATTGTATCGCTGTATTGCGATATGTTGTGCTACGTATAGCAATGTAACTATGCGTACGTACAAATTAAATTAAAAGATATAATATTACAATAAAATATATTTCACACTTCAAAATTTCCACCAATGGAGATACAACGAGATCCAGCAGTGATTCCCAAATATCGATTTACCGTGAACACAGTATGACAATGTAAAATGAAGTCAATTGTTCGCTAAAGTGATCAGATTTGTGAACGATATGTAAAGCTACAGCAATCATACTGCGAGGATATGTTTAATTATTACTTGTACCAATGATCGGGTTTCCCATTCAATATTAATCTGTTTGATGTTGACGCATTCAATCCTCCGTCAATCGTTGATGAATTACAAACTGTCCTACTTAGCGTGTTATAATCCAAAACATATTTCACGTATTTTCTTCGGAAATGGAACGCTCTATCATTTTTCACGGGGGGGTGGTCTTTGGACAATTCACGGGAAAGATGATTTCATATCGTGTGTAAAATTGATGTTTGCCTTGGCAGCGTTCAATAGAATATCTTGTATGCCATCGTAAGATATGTTTGTACAGAGTATTTCTAAATTAAACGATCAAACTGCGCCAATTTGTTCTGTAAACAGACGCGTGAAAGCTTCGCTTAAAAGCCATGGGAAAATTATCCAAAACGAAAAACCGACCCTTCGGGCTTTACATATTGTTGCGTGCGTTCGTGTTATGTTGTTGACGTTACGTGCCTTTTGTGGACAGTGGGGCTTTGTGATGGACTCTCAAACTTTCAAACGTTTTTATTTTTTTTTTGGAGATCAAATTTCACGTTTGAAAATTTGGGAATTTGAGAGACTGGGATTTTGGGGGTTTGGGAAATTAGGAGATGGGGAATTAGGGGTTTGGGAAATTAGGTAGCGGGGAATTAGAAGGCGAGGAATTAGGGGTTCGGGAAATTGGAAGGTGGGGAATTAGAAGGTGGAGAATTAGGAATTGGGGAATTAGGGGTTCGGGAAATTAGAAGATGGGGAATTAGGGGTTCGGAAAATTAGAAGGTGGGGAATTAGAAATTGGGGAATTAGGGGTTCGGGAAATTAGAAGGTGGGGAATTAGAAGGCGGGGAATTTGGGGTTCGGGAAATTAGAAATTGGGGAATTAGGGGTTCGGGAAATTAGAAGGTGGGGAATTAGGGGTTCGGGAAATTGGAAGGTGGGGAATTAGAAGGTGGAAAATTAGGAATTTGGAAATTAGGGGTTCGGGAAATTAGAAGGTGGGGAATTAGAAGGCGGAGAATTAGGGGTTCGGGAAATTAGAAATTGGGGAATTAGGGGTTCGGGAAATTAGAAATTGGGGAATTAGGGGTTTGGGAAATTAGAAGGTGGGAAATTAGAAGGCGGGGAATTAGGGGTTCGGGAAATTAGAAGGTGGAAAATTAGGAATTGGGGAATAAGGGATTTGGGGAATTAGGAGGTAGGGAATTAAAAATTGGGAAAGTAGTAATTTGGGAAATTAGAAGTTTGGGAAATTATCAGTTTGGGAAATTAACAATCTGCGAAGCTCAGAATCCATCAAAATATGAACCTTGAGAGTCTACAAATTTGTAAACCTCAGACTTCGTAAATCCCCAATTTGAAGTTTGAATTTTCCAGTACCAAAATTCATAAATAAATAAATTCGAATACCGAAGTGATCGATAAGAGAATTTCCAGGGGGGTTAACGTAGCTTAGGGTTCCATCAACAACTCGAAAACTCGCTGATAAATTTCTTATCGACGTAAACGACAGCTATTAGTTTGCCGAAGAACGCTTACGCGATGGTTTCTGGTCGTCTGGTATCAGCATGTAAATTTTAAACGGAAACTTTGCGTCACAGGTGCGCAACCCGTTCGCTTATCTCGTCTTTCGATTAAGCTTCGTCCCCGTTTCTAAATTATTGATTCCGAAACTGCGACGACGAATTCGTTATACATTTTCAACATGTGTGCGTGTACGCGAATGCATGGACTTACGTTGTGCCGCCAGGAGACCTTGTAGACCCACGGATTCGATTTGATGTTGCACTCGAAGTACACGTCGATACCCTCGCGGATCGCGCTCAGATTCAAATTGCTGCCGAGCTCTAGTGTCACCACTGGTTCGTCTGAAATTTATTAATTATAATCATTATTTATACTTGCGGTTGAATATTTCTTTTTACAAGTATAGGTTATTGTATGAAAATAGGACTAGCAAGGTTTGGTTAAAAATTTCATTAAAAATTTCTTTAAAGACTTCTTTAAAAAATTCAGACAAAATTTCAGACAAATTTTCAGAGAAAATTTCAGACAAAATTTCAGAGAAAATTTCATAAAAAAATTTATACAAAATTTCAGACAAAATTTCAGACAAAGTTTCAGAGAAAATTTCAGACAAAATTTCAGAGAAAATTTCATAAAAAAATTTATACAAAATTTCAGACAAAATTTCAGAGAAAATTTCAGACAAAATTTCAGACAAAATTTCAGACAAAATTTCAGACAAAATTTCATATAAAATTTCGGACAAAGTTTCAGACAAAATTTCAGACAAAATTTCATAAAAAAATTCATAAAAAAATTCATACAAAATTTCAGACAAAATTTCAGATAATATTTCAGACAAAATTTCAGACAAAATTTCATAAAAAATTTCATAAAAAATATCATAAAATTTCATAAAAAATTTGAAACTATTTTACATGTATTACAAAGTTACTCTCACAACAGACTCTCATTAAATTGCAGCATTCTCAAGCATCAAATTTGCAAAACTGAAGGAACGAGTATTAATCACTCAGATAAAATATGAGGTTTGTTTACTGTTCAAGAATTAAAATTATGTCCATAAAAGTATAAAAACTATTCTACCGAAAATTGTGTACACTTCATCCATCTCGCAGCTTGTATACGATAAAGATTACGTACATTCGTACAATAAACCGAGTTTACAGAGCAAACAATGATCCCGAATTTTGAAAACAAGCAAGCGTTACTGTAATATTTTCCAGGTCCGATAACAAGAAAATCAATTTTCGCTGTTAATCCTGGCACTCCAACGTCCTGCGGCACTTTACAGGAGATCAAGAAGCTAAATCACGGCGAAACGTCCACGCGCGGAAAATCTATGGTCCCTTTTCTCCGTGAATTTCCGCGCCATAGAAAACGATTGCAAATTTCAGAATCCTTTAAATCAGCCCCATAACAAAGTTGGTGTTACACGGATTTCCCATCACTGCCACGGTCTCTGTAGATTAACGCAGTGATTTCACTGTCCAATATAAAAGTTTCTTCCGAGCGGGGCGAAAAAAAAGGAAGCGAAGAACAAAAGGACGCGAGAGAAGCAGGGATCAGCTCAGCTTCACGGAAATTAATGGTACATGCCGATCCGTGGCTAAAGATTCCCTCGTTTTCTCGATTTTCTTTCCTGGATCCCTCTCGCATTTTCTATCCCTACCATTCTCATCATTTTATCCTTCTTTTTTTTCGCTACAGCTTCGCACTACCCTCGAAACTCTCAACCTCGGTTTCTCCGCTCGTTTTCTTCTTTTTCCTTCGCCACTTATCGGTCTGGCTGTCTCGCTCTTGCCCGTGGTTTTTTTCATTAGCCACTTCGACCGGTAATTTCGCGCGGAGTAATAGAGGGAGAGAGGGATAGACGAGAAACAGGGAAAAATTTACTCGTTATATTGCAGCCACGAGTCTCGCGAGTGGGAATTATCGGATTTGTTCGGTGGACTCGTATTACCGGGAAAGAGAGAAATCATAAGCAAAGACCCGGTTGGCGAACGTCGTGAATCGATATCGTTCGTTGCTCGTTTCTTCCTCTTCTTCTTCCACTTTTTTTTTCTCTCGCGTTCTACCCTTTTCTTCGTTCTTCTTGTCGACGGAGGTACCGGCCGCCGACGAACGAATTTCTTGCTAATAGCCGGCCGGAGATCGAGCGTGAAACCAATACCAGCCACGGAATTCTCGCGGATAAATAAGCCGACCTTTCTGATACCGGTGCGGAGGTGAGTTTTAATTCCTACCAGGAAATCAACCACGGGAGATCGATCACCGCTATGGTGACGCTGACGGTGAAATATCGTGGGCAACGTTATTTTACCACGTTCTTTTTACAGAAATTTTTAAGCTGGATTCATTTAATTTTGTAAATTTTACAAGCAAATGTTGCTTTATCTAACTGTCACTTATAAAACGTTCCTTTAACAAACAGTCGTTTATCAAACGTTTCTTTATTAAAGGGTTCTTTGTCAAACATTTTTTTCTAACGTTACCTTATCAAACTATCAAACGTTACAATATCAAACAGTCCTTCATCAAATAGTCATTTATCGAATGTTCCTTTATCAAGCAGTCACTTATCAAACTTTCCTTTATTAAAGGGTCTTTTGTCAAACATTTTTTTTCTAACGTTACCTTATCAAACTATCAAACGTTACAATATCAAACAGTCCTTCATCAAATAGTCATTTATCGAATGTTCCTTTATCAAGCAGTCACTTATCAAACTTTCCTTTATTAAAGGGTCCTTTGTCAAACATTCTTTTTCTATCTTATTAAATATTCTAATATTAAACGGTCCTTCATCAAATAGTCACTTATCAAACGTTCTTTTATTAAAGGGTTTTTTATCAAACATTTCTTTCCCTAACATTACCTTATCAAATATACCTATATCAAACGGTTCTTCATCAAGTAGTCATTTATGAAACGTTCCTTTATTAAACAGTCACTTATCAAACGCTCTTTTATAAAACGGTCTATTATTAAACGTTCCTTAATCAAATGTTCTCATGCAGAACATTTCTTTATCAGATATTCGATAACTAAACATTCCTTCATCAAACGTTTCCTTATCAAACCTTCCATTACTAAACAATCCATTATCATACGTTCCCTTATCAAACGTGCTATTATCAAACGTTCCCTTCTCAAACCTTCCACTACCAAGCAGTCCATTATGCAACGTTCTCTTATCAAACCTTCCATTACTAAGCAGTCCATTATCGAACGTTTCCTTATCGAACGAGCTCCTATCGAACGTTCCTTTATCGAACGTTCCCTTCTCAAACCCTCCACTACTAAACAGTCCACTATCCAACGTTTCCTTGTCAAACCTTCAATTACTAAGCAGTCCATTATCGAACGTTCCCTTATCGAACGTGCCTCTAAGCCCCTATCGAACGTTCCTTTATCAAACGTTCCCTTACCAAACAGTCCATTATCAAACGTTCCCTTCTCAAACCCTCCATTACTAAACAGTCCACTATCCAACGTTTCCTTGTCAAACCTTCAATTACTAAGCAGTCCATTATCGAACGTTCCCTTATCGAACGTGCCTCTATTGAACATTCCCTTAGCAAGCGTCCTCTTCCCACCACATCAACCAACAACAAAAGTAATTATATGCGCAGTGAAAATCCGAAACAGTTAATAATAGATCTGTCGAGAGAAATGACATTGCAGAAAACTGACTGAACGGCGTAACGGGAATTTTACATTAAATATTTGGCATCGGTATCGTTCTGGTTCAAGCATTTGTGTTTAGTTTATAGCGTGTTCTGGTTGTTTGCCAAGAAGCCTGTTCCACTGTAAGATTGCACATCGGAGGAATAGCGTGCTGTCGTCAGGTTCTTAAGTGCCGAGGGTGTTAGTGGAGCGGAAATTTACAGAAGGATGACTATTCAATGCGAAACAAGGCAAAGAAACTATCCGAAAAATGGACGACTTAACGAAGGCAAAAATTGCACGGACGAATCGTGCCAATCTGTCTTTTCAACGAACTCGAGCCACTTTTTGCGATTAGAACGACGTCTAACGTTAAGAAACGCGTCTTTCGATGTCGAAACAATGTGTACGATTTCTATTTATTTAAATTTGTTTTTAACCGTGAGAAATTTGCAGCTGAAAAAGAGTAACTTCGACGACGACCGTGGAATGAGAAAATAAAAATTCACAATTCGCGAATTTAAATTTCGCAACAAAATAGAATCTCGCGGCGGTTACAATTTCGATGTGAAATTTGAATAACAACAAAACGGGGAAAAAAATTCACCAACTTAAATTTCAAATCTGGAACTCGTAGGAAAAATAAAATACGCGCTGCCGGTGGTTACAAAATTTCGATGCATAATTTGAATAACGGTCCGGCGAAAAATTAAACGGAAAAACTTGCGACGGGGAGGAAAAAAAATCCCTACGAAAGGATAAAGTTCGCGATTCGAAAGTTCAAGCTCGGAGCTTGAAAAACAATAATTCGCCCCGGTGTTAAGCTTCAATTTCACGCATCGTTGCGCTCCTCTCCGCTTCCTATTTCCTCCGATATTAATAATTCTCCAAAATTCATAAATTCCGTTTTCAAACGCCTCTATTCACACGCTTCATAACATAATTCACGCAAAACTCGTTCGCAGAAGGATAAACGATCTTCAGAGTTTCAGACGCTTTGAAGAGCTTCCGGGAAATTAGTTCAAACTAGTTCATTTAAATTAAACAATTAGATTGTTCAAGTTCTGTTTTGATAGTTTTTTCTTAGCAGAATATTTCTATTCAAAATTGTATTTATTGTCTGAAGTACTGGACACATCTTCTTTTGCATAAATAAATATTCAGTGTGAATTAATAAATAAATTCTTGTCTTAAGATCATTTTTTAGGTTTTTGAAAAATGTAATTAATCTCAAGATGCAGTTAAGTATAATTATTATTTTTAAACTTGAGAAGCATTTTCTTGTTTGAAATACGAAAGCTTGATACGTTGAGAATGCTGCTTATCTATCATTTTTAATATTTTTGACAAGATTTATAAAATACAATTCTTTCCTTCTCTAATATTATGACATTACATTTTAATATTATAACATTTAGAATATTTTTAATAGAGTTCATAAAATATCATTTTTTCTTGACGTTCTAATATGTGTCACATAACCTCAAAATTCGAATGTGTGAAGCATATTTGAATTTACCAAAAATTCATTAAAATAAACTCCTTGAAAAAAACACAAGAAAAGAATTTGTTTAAATTTTTCAAAATTTCATAACAAATTGATGGAATTAAAAAAAATATTTTAAAATAGCCCAATTCTTTGTGAATAAAACGAAAAAGAGTTTAGCTAAATCGGTTGAGTAGTTTCTAAGAAAAAAATTCGTAAGTGAAGCCTGTTTATAAATTAATACAGGGTGTGTCACAACTAGTGTTCTTCTGACTGGTTTTCCTTAAAATTTTTCGTTATTATAAAACAGATGTACAAAGCCACAAAAAATATTTTATAACAGCTCAATCCTTCATGAATAAAACGAAAAAGAGTTTAGCTAAATCGGTTGAGTAGTTTCCGAGAAAAAAATTCGTAAGTGAAGCCTATTTTCGCAAAAATTGCAAATTTTTAAGACTGTTTATAAATTAGTACAGGGTGTGTCACAACTAGTGTTCTTCTGACTGGTTTTCCTTAAAATTTTTCGTTATTATAAAACAGATGGACAAGGTCACAAAAAATATTTTATAACAGCCCAATTCTTCGTGAATAAAACGAAAAAGAGTTTAGCTAAATCGGTTGAGTAGTTTCTGAGAAAAAAATTCGTAAGTGAAGCCTATTTTCGCAAAAATTGCAAATTTTTAAGACTTATTATTGCATAGTAAATTTGAAACCGGCAAAATGATGACTTAAACCCCCTTTAATTTCACGTGGACAACAAAATACTTTAATTAGAGAAATAGCCCAATTCTTCGTGAATAAAAGAAAAAAGAATTTAGCTAAATCGGTTGAGTAGTTTCCGAGAAAAAAATTCGTAAGTGAAGCCTGTTTTCGCAAAAATTGCAAACTTTGAAAGCTTGTTATTTTTTAACAAATTCGAAACCGGCAAAATGATGACTTAAACCCACCCTAATTTTACATGGACTACAACATATTTTGATTAGAGCAGAATCGCAGATGGTGACGTCCAAAAGTGATACTTGGCGTGCTGCAGGATTATTTACTTCCATTCCATGTTAATTAATTTCGAGAAGTAATTAAACATAATTACAAAGCTTTTCCTCCATATTTATTTCCTAAAATAAAAAAAGTAAATCTTCCATAATTCTTTCTCCAAGTGCTCATAATCGTCAAACGTCATAAAAACGTACACGAAGTACATCCAGCAGTATTTGCAGCAATGGCAAGCAAAAAGTGTAGTACCGATCGAGTAAATAACGCTTCGCAGACACGGCGATTGTAATGAAAAATCTCGACCGACAGACAGCGTAGGTGAAATTTGCATGAAAACACTCACGGTGTATGTCGAGCTTCCATCCATCCTCCATCTCGGAATCCGGGATATCCGGCACGCTGCCATGACAGGATAGGAACTTGCCGGCATCCTCGATACTCGGCACGAAGGTGAGAACGCTCGTGGTGACGTTGTTGTCGGGGCTCATCTGCGGGATAGCTTTCATGAATTTAAAACAGTTTACCGAACCGTTTGGTAATCACGGGCCCGACGTAGAAAAAACAAACACCCCCTCGTGGGGAAAGGCTGATTTACGGAATCGAGCTGACACGAGAACGGAAGTCGATTTTTCGGAAATCTGATTACTTACGCGACGGGAAACGTCTGGACGAAATAATTTGCGATATAATTTTTAAAATTTTATTTCATTCATTATTTTGTTTCCAGGAATAAAATTTATGAGATGGTTTTATCGTTTGGAAATTTGGGAGATTAGGATTTAGGGGATTTGGGAAATTAGGAGGTTGGGACATTAGGAATTGGGAAATTAGGAGGTGGGGAATTAGGAATTGGGGAATTAAGGGTTTGGGAAATTAGGAGGTGGGAAATTAAGGGTGTGGGAAATTAGGAGGTGGGGAATTAGAAATTGGGGAATTAGGAGTTTGGGAAATTAGGAGGTGGGGAATTGGGAGTTGGGGAATTAAGGGTTTGGGAAATTAGGAGGTGGGAAATTAAGGGTGTGGGAAATTAGGAGATGGGGAATTAGAAATTGGGGAATTAGGAGTTTGGGAAATTAGGAGGTGGGGAATTAGGAATTGGGGAATTAAGGGTTTGGGAAATTAGGAAGAAGTGAGGAATTAGAAATTGGGGAACTGGGAGTTTGGGGAATTAGGAGTTTGGGAAATTAGGAGGTGGGGAATTAGAAATTGGGGGATTAAGAGTTTGGGGATTTAGGAGTTTGGGAAATTAGGAGGTGGGGAATTAGAAATTGGGGGAATTAGGAGTTTGGGAAATTAGGAGGTGGGGAATTGGGAGTTTGAGGAATTAGGAGTTTGGGAAATTAGCAATTTGGGAAATTAGGAGGTGGAGAATTAGAAATTGGGGAATTGGGAGTTTGGGAAATTAAGAGGTGAGGAATTAGAAATTGGGGAACTGGGAGTTTGGGGAATTAGGAGTTTGGGAAATTAGGAGGTGGGGAATTAGAAATTGGGGAAATTGGGAAATTAGAAATTGGGAAATTAGAAATTGGGAAATTAGAAATTGGGAAATTAGAAATTGGGAAATTAGAAATTGGGAAATTAGAAATTGGGAAATTAGAAATTGGGAAATTAGAAATTGGGGAATTAAGGGTTTGGGAAATTAGAAGGTGGGGAATTAGAAATTGGGGAAATAAAGGTTTGGGAAATTAGGAGATGGGGAATTAGGAATTGGTGCAGCAGGATTTGGGAACTCAATTTTTAGATGTGCTGTAAAATTGTTAAATCTTATTCCAACTTGATATTTCTGAACACGAGATTTATACCCCGTAACAATTTTATTGTCCCTACAAATTTATTTAAATCGCAGAATTTTATTTTGTTCATAAAGAAATTCCAGAAATAAAATTTACATCATGGCTTTATCGTGATTTTAAAACATAAAACATCGAAAGTTTATTCTAGTTTCCATTTCCAATTTAATACTATTAAAAGTAAAATTGCAAATAATTTACAAGAACATTAATTATTATAAATATTATTCGTGCAATCATTTGCATTTATATGCTACTATAAATGGACCATCAAACATAAAAGGACATTTATTGCCGACTCCGTAATTAAATCACTTTGCTACCCCAGGATTGAATCTGTTCCTCCGGCAAAGACTGTTGTCCCTTTTTCGAGAAACGTCAACGAGATAATGGAATCCTTTATTGAAGGAAAATATTATGGAAACGAGCCGGCAGAGTGTGAAATAATTGAACATTTCCTTCGCTTCGAGATACCACGAGATTGTATCTTTCTACATAATAATATTTTATCTCGAGTTCAAAGCGAATTAATAACATTTGAAATTATTACATGCTCTTTTCTATTATTTTATCTCTTTATGCTCATTAGTCATGATTTTTAACTCGATTAAATGTTGGAGAAAGTTTAGACAATATTATGACAAGCTTTATTTTTTATAAAAAAAAATCCATTATTCTATTACTATGTTTATACGTTGTAACAATATAGATTTGGTTAAAGAATATGTTATTAAAATTGCATTAAAGTACGTTAAACGAGTGTACATTAAAGGAGCGTGCATTAAACGAGTGTGTATTAAACAAGTATGTATTAATCGAGTGTGAATTAAACTAGTATGTATTAATCGCGTGTGAATTAAACTAGTATGTATTAAACGAGTGTGTATTAAACGAGCATGTATTAAACCAACGTGAGTCACCTTCCAAGTCTAAAATCCTAAAGAAGATTATTTTCGAAATATGTGTTCTATTCTCAAAACTTTCAATCATAAATCACAACAAAAGTTTACCGTTTGTCTAGCGTTCCTGAGCACAGTACTCCCTTTCGACCATGTGATCTTTGGGGTCGGTCTAGCCCCAACGACTTCGCAACTGATCTCGTACGTGGTGCCAGCACTGAATGGACGGTTTTCTCCTTGCATGCGGACCCACAATGGCTTCACTGAAACACGTGTACTATCCATTAGTCTCCCGACCGAGAGAACCTCAACCACAGTGTTTGCGAAATCATCGCGGGAACCTTGAAGCGTCGAAAACTGGTCGAAGCTGAGGTACCACAGAATCAACGAGGAGGTGAAAACGATTTTAACCGCATCGTTCAAGTATCTCCGTTAATATTTACCTCGGAATAATTTTCGGTTTCATCGACAGCTATTTAAATACTACGTATGGACACTGAATTTGCGATTCAGAGGAACTTCTCGGTAGAAGATGGAGGAGTCTCGTTGTATTGGGGAAGCTTTTGAAATTGATGTGATGAGGTATATGTATGGATGGATGTGTGGCGATGTGTGTGGGGATTTCATGTGTGAGGATGTGGTAGTTGAACGTGTGCTAATTCTGGGGGTAATAATCCGACGCGTGGTGGTTAGGGAGATAGGAATTGGAAGCGTGGTAATTTGGGGTGTAAGAATTCGATGCGTGGTAATTCGCGGTGTAAGAATTTGACGCGTTGTAATTTGGGGCGTAGGAATTCGATGCGTGGTAATTCAGGACGTGGTATCTCGGCGTGTAGGAATTCGACGCGTGGTAATTCGGCGCGTAGGAATTCTCGACGCGTGGTAATTCGGGGCGTGATAACTCAGCGCGTGGTAATTCGGAGCGTGGTAACTCAACGCGTGGTAACTGGGGGCGTGGTAACTCGACGCGTGGTAATTCGGGGCGTGGCAACTCAGCGCGTGGCGCGTGGTAACTCGGCGCTTGGTTATTCGGGGCGTGGTAATTCTCGACGCGTGGTGACTCGGTGCATGATAACTCGGCGCATTGGAATTCGACGCGTAGAAATTCTCGACGCATGGTACCTCGACGCGAAAGAATTCGACGCGTGGCGACTCGATGCATGATAACTCGGCGCATTGGAATTCGACGCGTAGAAATTCTCGACGCATGGTACCTCGACGCGAAAGAATTCGACGCGTGGCGACTCGATGCATGATAACTCGGCGCATTGGAATTCGACGCGTAGAAATTCTCGACGCGTGGTAATTCGGGGCGTGGTAACTCAGCGCGTGGCAACTCGGCGCGTGGTAACTCAACGCGTGGTAATTCGGGGCGTGGCAACTCGGCGCGTGGTAGCTGGGGGCGTGGTAACTCGACGCGTGGTAATTCAGGGCGTGGCAACTCGATGCGTGGTAGCTGGGGGCGTGGTAACTCGACGCGTGGTAATTCGGGGCGTGGCAACTCAGCGCGTGGCAACTCGGCGCGTGGTAACTCAACGCGTGGTAATTCGGGGCGTGGCAACTCGGCGCGTGGTAGCTGGGGGCGTGGTAACTCGACGCGTGGTAATTCGGGGCGTGGCAACTCGGCGCGTGGTAGCTGGGGGCGTGGTAACTCGACGCTTGGTAATTCGGGGCGTGGTAATTCTCGCCGCGTGGTACCTCGACGCGACAGAATTCGACGCGTGGTGACTCGGTGCACGATAACTCGGCGCATTGAAATTCAACGCGTAGAAATTCTCGACGCGTGGTAATTCGGCGCGTAGGAATTCTCGACGCGTGAACTAGACGCGTGGTAATTTGGGGCGTGGTAACTCGATGCTTGGTAATTTCAATGCATAGTAATTCAACGCATAACACTGAATCTTGTAATAGTTCCACGCTTATTAATCCCCCAAGTAATGACTCATCATACACTATTTCCCCGCGTAATAATTCACAAAATAATGACTCCCCAAATGACAATTCCCCAAAAACCAACCCAACGCGTAATTCAAACAATATTACAATAGCGTTGCAAGATAACGCACTACAATATAACGCAATGTAGCAAAATAAAAGTGAGCTACAATCTCGTTTTTACTCACAATTCATGTCCAATGTAACAGAACTCGATATAGGTGCCACCATGTTGTTGTTCGAGGCTTGACAAGTTAAAACAGCGTTCAAATGTTCACGGCCCACTTTTTCCAATCGCAACACGTTGCGGACCCTTTTGGTGCCAACAGTTTCGTAGGTGTCGTCGAGAAGAGCGTTTTCCTGCCACCACGTCACTCGAGGTTGCGGTCGACCTAGTAAAATCAAACAGACAATGAACAACGCTCTCTAGCGAAGCTTTCTTCTGAAAGAACAGATGAAAATCATTTGGTACATAAACGTGACGTGTTCGCTGACACGGAAAATAAATCGCGACTTCCATTACAGTTTTCAGCTTCGTTTTTACAATTTTACTGTTCATATACTCTTCTTTAATACTTCTTTATTTACGTGATAATTTTTCCTGTTGTTTGCATCTTTTGTAGAGAAGATTCGGTATACAAACTTCATGTCTTTTTTTAAAAGGAAGACTTTGTTTACGTTTGGACTGAAGTAATTACAATTTGTATTGCTTATAAATAATAATTATGAAGTATTACTTTCTTGAATATATATTTTTAATTTGTATTCATAAACTCATTTTATGAAACTCATGAACTTGGAATATACAAGGAATATATTTTCTTGAATATACAGGGTGTTTCACAATTAATATAATCACCACATCAAGCATATTAATTAGAGTGATACTTTAATGATGTTTTTATAAGAAATGTTCCCTGATAAACAATTATTTTATACAGTCATAGCAATTTTTATTCTATCGTCCACAAATAATAGCTACAAATACAACTTTTTCTACCGTGCAAGTTTTTTAAACGTTTCATTCCGTACAAACAAACGGTATCAACGATACACCTCTGTGCATTCAATTTTTCAGGAATAAAAGGGTAGAGAAAAAAGCTACGCAGATATCTACATATGCACGTATTTGCGTGGCATTTTATCGATAAAAAAGGAGGATCATTGAAATATTTAAAGGTGGAAATCAACGGCTGCGTTAAAAATAGGAATTTCAAATTTACGTCTGATATTTTTGCCGGTGTTGCAGCGGATCCCCGAGGTTCGTATATTTCGCTTTTTCTATCCGTTTGTTTACACGTGTTGGTCCAATCAAGGGATCGCAGGGAGAATTGAAAAAGGCACCCGAAATAATAAAACAACGTACAATGAATGCTGTGTCCGATTCTGACGAGAACCCGCAGGATGTTTCTCACATGTTTCATGAACATGCACCTTCAGATTAATTCAGTGAAGCATCGCTAAAATACGTCAACGTGAAACATTAAGCGGCAAACTTATCGTTATTCTATCTCATAGTACATTTAATCCTTCCTAATTTGCTTAATTCCCATGAATATTGGAAGCAGCATTAATGGATTAATACTACGCGGCTCTGTAAAATTATCTTCTCCGTAATTAACGAACTGCAGTCTACTTTGCGGATTTTTTTGCTTAGATTAAAAATTGAGGTTGGGAATTTACATCCGTATTCGTTAATGTTGAAAAATTAGTTGGATAAAGTATTAACATGGAAAAAATATTAAAGAAATGTTCATATTAATAGTTTCACATATGCTACATATGTGCGTGGTAACTCAACGCGTGGTAATTCGACGCGTGGTAGTTCGGGGCGTGGTAACTCGACGCGTGGTAATTCGGGGCGTGGTAATTCGGGGCGTGGTAACTCGATGCTTGGTAATTCGGGGCGTGGTAACTCAGCGCGTGGTAATTGGGGGTGTGGTAACTCGACGCGTGGTAATTCGGGGCGTGGTAATTCGGGGCGTGGTAACTCGATGCTTGGTAATTCGGGGCGTGGTAACTCAGCGCGTGGTAATTGGGGGTGTGGTAACTCGACGCGTGGTAATTCGGGGCGTGGTAATTCGGGGCGTGGTAACTCGATGCTTGGTAATTCGGGGCGTGGTAACTCAGCGCGTGGTAATTGGGGGTGTGGTAACTCGACGCGTGGTAATTCGGGGCGTGGTAATTCGGGGCGTGGTAACTCGATGCTTGGTAATTCGGGGCGTGGTAACTCAGCGCGTGGTAATTGGGGGTGTGGTAACTCGACGCGTGGTAATTCGGGGCGTGGCAACTCGGCGCGTGGTAGCTGGGGGCGTGGTAACTCGACGCTTGGTAATTCGGGGCGTGGTAATTCTCGCCGCGTGGTACCTCGACGCGACAGAATTCGACGCGTGGTGACTCGGTGCACGATAACTCGGCGCATTGAAATTCAACGCGTAGAAATTCTCGACGCGTGGTAATTCGGCGCGTAGGAATTCTCGACGCGTGGTAATTCGGCGCGTAGGAATTCTCGACGCGTGGTAATTCGGCGCGTAGGAATTCTCGACGCGTGGTAATTCGGCGCGTAGGAATTCTCGACGCGTGGTAATTCGGCGCGTAGGAATTCTCGACGCGTGGTAATTCGGCGCGTAGGAATTCTCGACGCGTGGTAATTCGGCGCGTAGGAATTCTCGACGCGTGGTAATTCGGCGCGTAGGAATTCTCGACGCGTGGTAATTCGGCGCGTAGGAATTCTCGACGCGTGGTAATTCGGCGCGTAGGAATTCTCGACGCGTGGTAATTCGGCGCGTAGGAATTCTCGACGCGTGGTAATTCTAGACGCGTGGTAATTTGGGGCGTGGTAACTCGATGCTTGGTAATTCGGGGCGTGGTAACTCAGCGCGTGGTAACTGGGGGCGTGGTAACTCGGCGCGTGGTAATTGGGGGCGTGGTTATTCGACGCGTGGTAATT